TGGACTTGATGTTTCGATTACCTTGGTTGTACAGTTGTCGGAGCTTCAGTAGGTGGAGAAGCAGTAGCTGAAATACAAATAAAACGAAACAATGTTTTCAGGTGTGAAAATCAAATCAAATTTGTTGGCAGACACGTTTCGATTAAAATAATTTTTACTTGGAGCCTCGACAGTCGTTTCTTTCGTCGTCAATGGACCCGTGGTTTCAGTAGTTTGAGCCGTCGTTTCTGTAGCTGTTTAGTATGACGCTCAAATAAATATAAATAGGTTTTGCTGAGTTGAAGCTATATTTAATCGATCAAGAATTATTTTAATAGTTTCAAATAAGCTGACTTGGAGGAACAACTGTTGTCTCTGTTTCTGTCGTTGACACTGGACTTGATGTTTCGATTTCCTTGGTTGTAACAGTTGTCGGAGCTTCAGTAGGTGGAGAAGCAGTAGCTGAAATACAAATAAAATGAAACAATGTTTTCATGTGTGAAAATCAAATTTGTTGGCAGACACGTTTCGATTAAAATAATTTTTACTTGGAGCCTCGACAGTCGTTTCTTGCGTCGTCATTGGACCTTTGGTTTCAGTAGTTTGAGCTGTCGTTTCTGTAGCTGTTTAGTATGACGGTCAAATAAATTTAAATAGGTTTTACAGAGTTGAAGCTATATTTAATCAATTAAGATTTATTTTAATAGTTCCAAATAAGCTGACTTGGAGGAACAATTGTTGTCTCTGTTTCTGTCGTTGACACTGGACTTGATGTTTCGATTTCCTTGGTTGTAACAGTTGTCGGAGCTTCAGTAGGTGGAGAAACAGTAGCTGAAATACGAATAAAACGAAACAATGTTTTCAGGTGTGAAAATCAAATCAAATTTGTTGGCAGACACGTTTCGATTAAAATAATTTTTACTTGGGGCCTCGACAGTCGTTTCTTGCGTCGTCATTGGACCAGTAGTTTCAGTAGTTTGAGCTGTCGTTTCTGTAGCTGTTTAGTATGACGGTCAAATAAATTTAAATAGGTTTTTCTGAGTTGAAGCTGTATTTAATCAATTAAGAAATATTTTAATAGTCCCAAATAAGCTGACTTGGAGGAACAACTGTTGTCTCTGTTTCTGTCGTTGACACTGGACTTGATGTTTCGATTTCCTTGGTTGTAACAGTTGTCGGAGCTTCAGTAGGTGGAGAAGCAGTAGCTGAAATACGATTAAAATGAAACAATGTTTTCATGTGTGAAAATCAAATTTGTTGGCAGACACGTTTCGATTAAAATAATTTTTACTTGGAGCCTCGACAGTCGTTTCTTGCGTCGTCATTGGACCAGTGGTTTCAGTAGTTTGAGCTGTCGTTTCTGTAGCTGTTTAGTATGACGGTCAAATAAATTTAAATAGGTTTTACAGAGTTAAAGCTATATTTAATCAATTAAGATTTATTTTAATAGTTCCAAATAAGCTGACTTGGAGGAACAACTGTTGTCTCTGTTTCTGTCGTTGACACTGGACTTGATGTTTCGATTTCCTTGGTTGTAACAGTTGTCGGAGCTTCAGTAGGTGGAGAAGCAGTAGCTGAAATACGATTAAAACGAAACAATGTTTTCAGGTGTGAAAATGAAATCAAATTTGTTGGCAGACACGTTTCGATTAAAATAATTTTTACTTGGAGCCTCGACAGTCGTTTCTTGCGTCGTCATTGGACCAGTGGTTTCAGTAGTTTGAGCCGTCGTTTCTGTAGCTGTTTAGTATGACGGTCAAATAAATTTAAATAGGTTTTTCTGAGTTGAAGCTGTATTTAATCAATTAAGAAATATTTTATTAGTCCCAAATAAGCTGACTTGGAGGAACAACTGTTGTCACTGTTTCTGTCGTTGACACTGGACCTGATGTTTCGATTTCCTTGGTTGTAACAGTTTTCGGAGCTTCAGTAGGTGGAGAAGCAGTAGCTGAAATACGATTAAAATGAAACAATGTTTTCATGTGTGAAAATCAAATCAAATTTGTTGGCAGACACGTTTCGATTAAAATAATTTTTACTTGGAGCCTCGACAGTCGTTTCTTGCGTCGTCATTGGACCAGTGGTTTCAGTAGTTTGAGCCGTCGTTTCTGTAGCTGTTTAGTATAACGCTCAAATAAATTTAAATATATTTTACTGAGTTTAGGCTATATTTAATCAATTAAGAATTATTTTAATAGTTTCAAATAAGCTGACTTGAAGGTACAACTGTTGTCTCTGTTTCTGTCGTTGACACTGGACTTGATGTTTCGATTTCCTTGGTTGTAACAGTTGTCGGAGCTTCAGTACGTGTAGCTGCAGTAGCTGAAATAGGAAAAAAACAAAAAATGTTTTTATTTGGAAAAATAAAATTAACTTTGTTGGTAGGCACATTTCATTTTAAAAATTTTTTTACTTGGAGCCTCGACAGTAGTTTCTTGCGTCGTCAATGGACCAGTGGTTTCAGTAGTTTGAGCCGTCGTTGATGTAGCTGTTTAGGATGACGGTCAATGAAATTAAATTATGTTTTAGTTCGCTGAAGCTACTTATCATAAAATAACTTTTTATAATTTTATTATTTTTTTTTAACATATTTCAATTTTAATAGATGTCAATGTTTTTTTAGTTTATTATCTACTTGTGACGAGCTGAGTTGTGGCTCCAGTTGACCCTTCTGTGATTATTGGCGCTACCGTCGTTACTGCAAATAATCATTTCATTAAAAGTTTTTTATATTTTAATTTCAGTTTTTGTTTTAATATTAATTGTTAATAATATATCAACCTAATTTGTCTTGTACTGAACAATACCAGATGTAGATTTAATAATGATTTATTTAATAATTAATTTTGTGTATTCCTTAACATCATTTCATTTGTAACTGTCCGTAAAAATAGTATATCTGGGCCAATCAATCCATATTTCCAAATTGTAACATTCATTTGATTTTTTTATTTGTTTATTAAAGTTATAAAATTCATTCTATTGTTTTATTAAAGTTTAAAAACAATTTGAACAAATGCTACAACTCGAACGTACGTTCATTGCAGAGTGTTATCACCATACTGTATACCGCTCTCGGCCTATCAATCGTATACTCCAGTGTAATCTTATTCACTCTCCGGTGAATAAGCGTCAGCACTACAGACTGTTTTGAGAAAAATATTCACAATTTTAATTTTTTTTTTAAAATTCCTAAACTTGATGTACTACTACCACTAAAACACTGTTACTTAACTACTACTACTACTACTACTACTACTACTACTACTACTACTACTACTATTGCTGCTACTACTACTGCTACAACTGCTGCTATTACTGCTGCTGCTACTACTACTAAAAATATAAAACAATTACTCTTACAACTTTCAATAGTATGGTTATTGTTGTTATTAATATTAAAATTAATTTCATGACTAGTTTATTTTATTTATAAAACTGATTTTATATTAAGAAATAATATTTATTCAAATTCAGTTGCTACATTTTCGAATGAAGTCTTGCTGATGACTTCACTGAAGTCGCCCGTGGTGTCTTCGTACTTCGCATCAACGGTCGTGCCACTTTCAACGAATATTTTGACCTGCATTTATAAAAAAGATCACGGTATTATGAATGCGATAAGCGATGGCATAATTGTTAGGACAGGGGCGGGCAAACTTTTTACTGTGAGGGCCGCATTGAGAACTGTTTTATCTTTGAAGGGCCGCATATGTACTTAAATAGCAAACTTTTTCGACTCGGGGGAAAATTTTTTTAAGATTTGTGGCTCCTTTTTTTGGTTATAATGTCTGTCTGACGACCCTTTTTTGGCGAACAAGGCCTCGCGGGCCGCATAAAATAGCTTGCACACCCTAGGGTCAGAGCGTCTGGTTCTCCAATTTCAAAAAATAGGTAAATTCTTTTTTTTTCCATAACAAATTTGATTGTATCTCCGTACCGGTTTATGTTATTATAAAAAGTTGTATTATCATATCAAATATTATAGCATTATATTAAATTCTTTCATTAAATTAGATTGTTTCATTGCATCGTGGCCTCAGGTCTTATTTTGACGTCTTCCTAATTTAAAGGACTTCCTATTAATAAAAAAAATTTTAACCACCTCCCTAAAAATCCACCTCAACTCTCACGAACCTCGTAAAGTTCGGCCGGAACTTTCCAGCTGATGATGGTGTTGGGCTTGCTGCCAGGGACATAATTTAACTTTATGTTCGTTTTCTCACCGACGACTTCCAACCCGTTAAACATTTGGTAGAAGACGTCGGGCTGTTCGAAAACGTTCGAGGTACTACCACAGTCAACTAATAGGGGCACGGTAAAAGCTGTTTGGGGTGGTAAAATTCAACTAGAGATTCTTGGTGCAATGGTTAAAGAGCCTACTCCAGCTGCTACAATTACCGGCTTCAAATGCAAACTCACACCCGCACGTATGCATGCGGTGAATGTGTGATGCATGGATTCACATGTGCGCTCTGCGTGGTATTGCTGATGTCTACAAGAATAATATCACCGCTGCTACTGCTGTTACTATAATTATATTTACTATAATTATAATTACTATAATTATAATTACTATAATTATAATTACTATAATTATAATTACTATAATTATAATTACTATAATTATAATTACTATAATTATAATTACTATAATTATAATTACTATAATTATAATTACTATAATTATAATTATTATAACAATCATTACTATTGTCATTAATATAATTATTATTAAGGATTTAATGATATTACTGGGTTCGGCGGTGGTGCACTGACTCTCATCTGAATTATCAAAAATGCCAGGGTCGGAACAGTCGGGCGTGCCGTCGCATAGGTGCTGAGGGGGTAGGCACTTGCCAGTGGTCAGGCATTTGAAATACTCCAGGTGGCAGCCTGGACGATGTTGTAATGAAATTAGTAATGAAAGTTATGTTGGATCGGTGCAGTACTGCTACTATTTGTCATGTCACACACACGCACGCACACACACACACACACGCACGCACACCACGCACACGCACGCACACGCACGCACACACACGAATTAATGGGCTAGATGTAAAGGTAATGTTGAAAATTATACTTGATTGTGCTTCATTGAATCTTCATTGAACATTTTTTGAAAAGTAATTCTTGAAAAGAAATGCTTCAACCAAACAATCAATCAACCCCCAAACCAACCAACCAACCAATCAAACCAGCCCATCAAACAATCAACCCACAAACCAACCAATCAATCAAACCAGTCCATCAAACAATCAATCACTCAAAATTTTTCTAATGTTTATAAATATAAAAAACACACAAAATTGGCAAAATTATAGTTTATTTTCACGAAGAAATGAAAAAAATTTGCCAAACATACAATTTTGTTCGTCCGAGCCGTCCCCACAATCGTTTGCCCCGTCACATTTGTTGTTGATGTCGACACACTGGTCGTTTGCACACTGGAACTGATTGTCCTGGCATTTGTGGACTGGATGGGTAGAAAAACGTAAAAATCGGTTAAAAAATTTAGGAAAAATTAATTAGTAGCAAAAATAAATTGTAAAAATTTTAATTAATTAAAGGGTTAAATAGTTAATTAAGTGAAACATCAATAAATAATTTAAAAAAAAGTATTTTTAATCTATCAAAATCTCAACAAAATAAAATTCCAAAAAAAGTCAAATCCCTACAGCAATCCTTCTCGTCACTGCCATCTTTGCACTCCACGGTTCCGTTACACTTGGCGGAATTCTCCAGGCAGATGGAACTCCCGTTGTTTGTGTATTCGCATTCGAACTGGGTTAGAGGGTCGCACTTGACCGGGCACTTCTCACCGACACAACGTACTTCCCCGTCTTTGCATTCGCTTTTGGAGATTTGGTTCGTTGTTTATGTGTGTGTGTGTGTGTGTTTGTTTGAGTGTGTGTAATTGTTTGAGTGTGTGTGTTTGTTTGTTTGTTTGTGTGTGTGTGTAATTGTTTGTTTGTGTGGGTGTGTTTTGTGTGTTTGTTTGAGTGGGTGTAGGTGTTTGTGTATATGTGGTATATAGATATGTGTTAAAGTAGGTAAGCAATTATTGTGATAGTTAAGTTATAAAAGTAGTTCACGACAAGACTGCAAATTGACAGACATAAAGCAGCTTAATATAGGATAATATAACGTATAATTAATCAATCAGAACATGTAATACTTTGTATAATAAGAATGAGGTGACATTCAATAGGGACTGACTGGTTAGAAGGAGTTAGACGACTAGTTAAGCTCTATGGAGCAAGGTCCCCTGGTACATAATAGGCGAGCACACGAGTTAAGAAGATGGTTATCTTAGTTCTCTTTAGAATTCTTTTAAGACTTAATGCACTCTAACACATTTGATCACTCCCTTTGATAATCCTCACATTATCTCTATTAGCGTAATTCAATTTGGCAATTTAAGTTTTGTTACAATATTAAACAATAAAAAAAATATTATTAACAATAATGCGTGAGTCGTTTCTCGTTGGATTTCGTTCATTAAACTTTATAACATTTCAAACACTAACTCTAATACTCAACACACCTATTCCGCTAATTAAAGCCATCTTTCATTATTTTTTGATACATGAAGAGTTTCGAGTTATTTAAAGTTGAGCGAGCAAGTTTACAGAAACAGAAAGAATTTCTCCAAGAAGAGGCTATGTTGTTATAATAAATAAATCCCGGTAAATAATGAAAATAATTATTCATAATAAATTTATAATAATTATAATAAATTATTTTCCAACCAGGTCTGGCAGTTGTGCACGAAAGAAGCTCCGGGTGGGTAGGTGCTGTCCTCAAAGACGCAGGGACAATCCGGTTTTTTCTTGCATGATCCGTCCTCTGTCGGTCGGCGGGGATTGTGGGACGAATGGGAGTAAAAGTTTTGCAAATTTAAAATTTAATGGGATTGATGGCTTTGTAAATTTAATGTGTAATAGGATTGATGGATTCAATAAGATAACCAAATACAAAACCCATCCAGTACCTGCTAAATAGGTGCCATCCGGACAGTAACAACCCTCAAGCTGTATGTCGTTCGGCCCCTCTGTGTTGCCTACATATTAAAAAAATTTGTTTTTAATACAGAATAATAATAATTTATTTTTAATATAAAATAATAATAATATTTAATATATAATAATTATAACAATATTATTTAATAATATTTTCAATTTCTTCACGACCAAATCCCCTCACTTCGATATATCACCATATAACATTAAACATTCTCACTTTACATTTTAAATTATTACATCGTTCCTGTGACTTTTTTGTTACCAATACTTGGTCATTCTAACATAACATACACTGTGAGTTTAGATATATTTACATAAATAAGGTGAAAAAAATCTTACCTCGACACGTGAAATCGTCAGGGGATTTGCAGGCCCTATAGACCTGACCATCGGGGCACATTACGGCTGTTTAAGATGGAAAAATTATTTTATATTTCATAAAAAAATCTCTTCTACCCACTTATTTAGTAGTTAATTTGTTTTTTTATTTAAAAGAAATGGAATTAAGTTGAAATTTATGCAAATTTCTTCAAAAAATTCGGAATTAAATTGAAATTTATGCTAATTTTTTCAAAAAATTTAGAATTAAATTGAAATTTATGCAGATTTCTTCAAAAAATGCAATAAACTGACGGCAGAAATAGTTGCTCCTCCATTTGGGGCAGGAGCCCTGCTTGTTGCAGGCCACGGCGAAGCTTTCGACGATCGTACATAAACACGCACAGTCACCGCCTGTCTCACAGCTGTCAATCAATCAATCATTCATTCATTCATTCATTCATTCAATCTTCTGTAAAATCAACAAATCGTAAATAATCTTGCGCAATGACAACACATTTAGTTAATAATTATAATTAATTATCATCTATAATTAATAATTATCATTTGTAATTAATAATTTTCATTTATAATTAATAATTCTCATTTATAATAATCATTTATAATTAATAATAAACTGTGACCTACCTGCAAGCTGCCGACAGACATTCGTCGTAATAAGATTTGTAATCAACGAGGGACCTGCACTCCTTGAAGACCTCCCCGTTTGTTATGATACTACAAGACGAAATCGCCCAAGCTAATCTCTCCTGATGTGTCTGTGGAAATCATCATTCCTTACTTCTTTCATTCATTCATTCATTCGTTCGTTCGTTCATTCATTTGTTCATTCATTTGTTCATTCGTTCATTCGTTCGCCTATTCGTTCATTCATATACTCAACTTTTCTTTCCTTTAATTCATTCATTCATTTTTCTAAATTAGTTTATTCAGTTATTCATTATCTTTGGTTATCGTTTATTTTATCAGGATTAACAAGCTAATATACAGGGAACATGAAACCAACACGCACACACAAACACACACACACACACTCAGTCGCTTTTACTCTTTCTTTTTTCTCTCTCTCTCTCTCTCTCTCTCTCTCTCGCACACACACACCCACACACCCACACACACACACCTCGCAAGGCTTAAACTCGGCATCTTTTTGTTCGATACACGTGGAATCCATCTTCCAATCAGAGATGGATGTGGGGACGGATGGGGGTACAGTGGAAACATCCCCCCTGTACTCCCCACACAGCCCTTCGACCTTGTCCTTGTAACAAGCCGGTAGGTAGATGACCAATCGGGTGCCTGTTTGGGTGGTAATGAAAGTTGGAATTCGACAGGTTAAAATGTTTTTTTTGGCTATTATGGTGGAGATAACACATTGATTTGACCTTATAATTGTGGCGGTTAACGAAAAAAAGGTTTTTCTAAATATAATTATTAATTTAATTTAATTATTAATAATTAATATAATAATTAATTATTCAAAGATTATGCAATTTTTTTTATTACCGATTGCATTTATTTGAAGCATTCAGAAGTTCATGTTTCAGTCAAATTATTGGCTAAAATTTATCAGTTACACCAAATTAAGTTTTATAAAAAAAAAAAAATTGAAACATCTCGTTACCTCCGTAGTAGAGAATGGACACCAGATCTTCAAAAGTGACCATGGTGACGAGGAATGTGCTGACGATGGTTACCTCCTTGGTGGTGTACACCCCGCCTGGCATGACCACCTCGTTTCCATTGAGAACCGGGCCGGAGCCACGCAGCAATTTCAAACTTTGTAAACCAACTTTCGCTTTTATCACCTGAAATGTTTTAGAGTGTAAATGTGTCTGTCTGTCTCTGTGTGTGTGTGTGTGTGTGTATGCGTGTGTGTGGGTATGCGTCAGTGTGTTTGGCGTTGAAATTGAATAAAATAAATAGTCCATTAAATATATTTTTCCTTGAAAGTTAACAAAATAATTAAATTACTTCTAATTCTTCACCAAAAGTCTTTAAAAAACAATTTCAAAAACCAACCAGCCAACCAACCAGCCAACCTACCAGCCAACCAACCAACCAACCAGCCAACCAACCAACCAACTTACCAACCAGTCAACCAACCAACCTTGGTACATATGACTCCAGAATTTCCACAGGGAAGATTAGCACTGGTTATATGAACCGGATCACAGGAGGAGTAGAGAGTTGTGGAATCCGACTTTGTCCTAACTAGCAAGTACTCGCAACTCGTCATGCCGAGATGCAACTTGTGACTTCCGTCAAATGGGATGAAGTACACGTCGCCGTATAGACTGCATTCGGCCCGGTAGCTCGGATCGTCCAAGCAATTCCAGCGACGATTTTTGCACTGACTTTTGTGGTAGTTAGTGGTAGTTTGTGGTAGCTAGTGGTAGTTAGTGGTAGTTAGTGGTAGCTAGTGGTAGTTAGTGGTAGCTAGTGGTAATTAGTGGTAGTTAGTGGTAGTTAGTGGTAGTTAGTGGTAGTTTGTGGTAGTTAGTGGTAGCCAGTGGTAGCCAGTGGTAGCTAGCGGTAGTTAGTGGTAGTTAGTGGTAGCCAGTGGTAGTAGTGGCGTCATTTCCAGAAATTAACATTATCATATGATTATCATTAACATGAACTGTCATCGTCGTCGTCATAATCATTTTCTTCTTTATCATCATCAACCACAACCACAACAACATCATCATCATCATTATACAAAAAGCAACTGGAAAACTTTGAAGAAATTAGTCATAATCAAATGAATGTGATGACTACACCACACCACAAACGTAATGACCACATGACTTCAAAAACTCACCAAATCTGACCATTATTTTTGACAACGGCGCCAGAATCGTACGTGGCTTGCATGTACTCGCATGGGCATTCGCTTGGGTCTATGCAATTGCCCTTAATTTAGCGGGAAAATTTTGTAATTAATAATAAAATTAATAATTAATTATGTAATTATTAAAAATATATTAAATAATTTTATAGCGCAATTGAAAAAACGAATGAATGAAAGAACAAACAAAAAATAAACAAACAAACTAACATACAAACTGAAAAACATACAAACAAATAAACAAACAAACAAATACATACATACAATCCAACTAACAAGCAAACAATTCGTAGATGTCGAGACATCTATGAAACAAACTAACAAATACAAACAGACAAACAAACAAATACAAACAAACACAAACGAACAAATACAAACAAACAAATACAAACGAACAAATACAAACGAACAAACAAATACAAACAAACAAAAAGATCAACAGCAGTGGCTCACCAAATTATCTTGAACTTTCCCATCGGGGCACGCACATCCCCCGCAGGTGGCAGGGACCTCCGAGAAACAGTTGTCGTAATCTTTACAGGTGGATCTACATTCGGTGAAGTTGCTGAGAAAAGTCTGGCCTGTCGAGCACTGAACAACCTTTTTGGCGCAAGTCCAGACACCGTCCGTGCAGACGCTGACGTGATTGTGATGGTTGTGGTAAGTGTGGTTGTATTAAGAGTGGTAGTGGCTGATTTGGTAGTGGCTGATGTGTGTGCGCTGGTGTATGTGTTTATAGCAAGTTTATACTAAAAGACCGGCATTAAGACAAAACTTTAAGAAAATCCTTCTAGCTAAGAAGGTACGCATTAATTAATTAATTAATTAATTAATTAATAATTAGTTAATTAGTTAATCAATCAAAATCAGCTGCTAACCAGTTCTCGCAATTCTTCTCGACACTTAGGCCAGATGAGACGTACTCTTGCGTCGCTTCGTACAAGCAGGGACACTCATTCTTCTCGACACACTTTCCTTTAAATTTATTATTATTATATATATTATTATTAAATATATTATTACTAGTTATTTATTTACAATTCATTCTATAATAGTTTTATGAGGTGTTAACATCGCTAAATAACAGCGTAGACGAACGAACGCCTCGAATGCACTGCTAGTGAACATTTTCAAAGTCATTTCTTATTTTACAGACGACTGATTAGCCGTTCTTATGATGCTGCAACTTTTGTAGAAGTCGCTTGTTGATAGCTCTTAAACCGGCCAAATGAAGAGAAAAATTAGTTGGAAAAAATTTTCCACAAAAGCAAAACTAGTGTACCGTAAAAATATTTTCCACCAACCATTGTTATCCATGTATTTAGCAGCCGGACACGAACAACCTGGAGTGCAGACGGGCCCAAGTGCCTGGAGATTTTGTAGAATGTCGGAAGTGAAAGGAGAGTTGCAGATGTGGTTTATTGTCGGGCACGTTGAAAATTCTCCAGAGCATTCCGTCTGTCTTGATTCTGTGTGTATTTACTTGTGTGTGTGTCTGTGTGTGTGTGTGTGTGTGTGTGTGTTAAAAAGAGAGAGAGAGAGAAAGAGAGAAAGTCTGTTTAGTCTGTTTTTGTTTTTGTATGCGTCTGGTGAGAGAGAGAAAGAGAAAGAGGAAGACAGAAAGAAAGAGAGAGAGAGAGAGAGAGAGAAAGAGAGAGAGAAAGAAAGTGGAGATGTTTATGCTATTTGATTTTTAAATTATTTCAACTAGGTTATTGCAAAGCAGCAAAAATGCAGAGCAGCGAACAAGAATCATCAGTCACCGCAAAAACCTGCAACATTTCACCTCAAAAACATCACCAACTCTAACAGGCAACCAACAATCTCCACTCTACCACCAAACACCCAGCAGCAACTCACGACAATTATTTTTAAAAATTTCCTCATTGGGGTAGTTTCGTTGCTCGTCTAGACCGGGAGACGCATCGCAATACGAGACAAGTCTATCCAAGAACGTGCAACCATTTTCGACTGGGACATTTGGCTGACTGTGCAGCTCCAGAGACACACAGGTATCGTAGAGACATGACTCATACAAATTGGTGGCGAAGTTTGTTTTTGAGCATTTAGCACCGACGACCTTCGGGTCTAGCAACATTTGACATTTTGTGGTTACATACTCGGAGGATGGCATCTTTTGAACGATTTCAAAATTTATTTAAAAAATTATCTGAAAAATTGACTCTAAAATTATTCAATTTAATTTTATTGGCTGCTTTGAGGCACATTTTAAATAACTAGCTAGCAGCTAGTTAGTTGGTTAGCTACTAGCTAGTTGGCTAGCTACTTGCTAGCTGGCTAGCTACTAGCTAGTTGGCTAACTACTAGCTAGCTGGCTAGCTACTAGCTACTTAACTAACATAACAAAAACCGAAAAAAACTAGCATTTAGCTTGTCGGAGCACTGGTTGACGGTCGGTAGACTTGCAAGATTGACACCTGTGCTGCAGGGACTGTAGGAGAGGACGAAGGAAAGTTTTTGCTCGATGAGTTTGTTCTGGGAGTAGAAATCATTTTCCGGTTTCCTATCCCAATCGCCGCACAAGCCGATAACCTAAACGAATTTTTGGTAATTTTTTGGAAATTTTTTAGAAATTTTTGGTGAAATATCTTTTAAAGTTTGGCTTCAAATAAACACGAGTAAATATCTATTCAATTATTCAAAATGTGTGTCTGTTGGTAGTAGTAGTAGTAGTTGTAGCCGTAGTAGTTGTAGCGACTGTAGTAGTAGCAACCGGAGTCGTAGTAGTAGTATTAGTAGTTGTAGTAGTAGTAGTAGTTGCAGCAGCAGCAGCAGGAGTATTAGTAGTAGTAGTGGTAGTAATAGTAGTAATAATAAGAATGACATCACATGACCTTATTATAAAAGGATGTCCCAAGCTTGACGAAGATATCACCGCCAGAA